GGGGCGGGGCGCAAGGGCCGTGGCGTGGGGCGCAAGGTGCCGGTGCGCGGGAAGGGCGTCTGGGGTGACGGCAAGAGCGGGTGCCGGACTCAAGGGCAGCGGAGGGGATTGGGGCCCATAACCTGTTGACGGGAGGTATTTACAAAGGCAGCAAGAGTAGTAAATTCGCACTAGAGGCGGCGTTAAATAGATCTGGGGTGGAGGAGCATATTCCCGGCATATACTTGGGATATTCCTGATACGATGCGGGTACGATGCGGCACAAAGGCATCATGGTATCGGTGAGCATAATGGCTGGGTCAGGTGCACGAAAGGGAGTGGCACAAGTGTCGATCAACTGGGAATGGGGTGGGGAAACACAATTGTGCGGTGTCTGGGGCGGGAAAGGCGGGAATGAGGGTATCAATGCAGCGGATGTGTAGACTGGACACGTGGCATTGTCACAGCTCAACACTGCAGCCAACGCTGAAGACCGCAAGGCAGACGAGCTCGCCCTCTCCTACATCGGCCTGTGCGTCAAGCCGGTACACCAGCCCACCATCCTGCGCTGCACTACGTCCAACCAAGCCTGGACCACTCTGCAAGAAACCTTCGCCGCCAAGACCTTCGCGCGCAAGCTGCAGCTGCGCCGAGACCTCAACTCGCTCAAGATGGCCATCAGCTTCTGCCTGTCCCCTGGGCTGTATACCAGACCCGTTACTCCACTCCCAACCATCTCACTGACGGTGCTTGATTTGGTCCCATCCCATCTGCCGTAGCTCTACCCTGACAACAGTTAAGGTGATACCCAGCAGCGCCCAAGCGCCCTAGTGCGCCGCTGCTTTGCTTGCCCTTACAACGGCAGTGCCCTAGCGCCCTTGAGCGCCGCTGCCTTCCGCCGGCAGCGCACTAGCGTCCTTGAGCGCCGCTGCCGCCGCTGGCAGTGCACTAGCGCCGTAGTGCGCCGCTGCCCCCCCACACCTGCCTTCCCCCCCTTCCTATATACTCCCCCCCTCTCCTACATTTTCCACAAAGGCGGTGCCTAGGGCTGTGCTGTCCTCGTGAGGCACACAGCTCCCCCGTCCGGTGTGCCTGGCCCCGTGTGCCACGCACCGGCTCCCTTTTATTCTTGGGCACCGTCCTTTCCCCCTTTGTCAGCGGTCGCCAGTCAGCCACCACCGACGGCCACCACCGCCGGACACATCACCGACGGCACCACCAGCTGCCACCCCTGCGGCAAGCACCTGCAACACCCAACGGCGGGCCACACCTGCGGCAGCCACCAACGGCACACCAGCTGCCAACCCAGGCATACGCTGCCGCAAACAGCCGTCACCTATCAGCCTCCAGCAACGAGCGGCTGACACAATGACTACAGACGGCACCTCC